ATAAAGAAGTCTTCAATTCAAAGGCTCTTACCTGCAAAGACAGATGTTTTTTTCTTAACAAGTAGCAGAAGCCAAGCCAATCCTGTGGGCAACCAATTAAAACCAACTTTTAGACTGCAATAAAGAATAAATGGAGGCAAAAATCAATGCAGGCAACACAACAGCAGGAACAGTCCACAAAGAACTGTATATACAGAAAGTTCAAACCTGCGACCACCACAAGGCACTGACCATTGAGCAACCACGAGACTGCATTTTCTAATACCTTATCCCTGTGTGACTTGTTGGCAACTGTACTGCAGTTTTTGTACGGCTTCACGACATGAACATGCCTCCCACAAAGGATATAAAAAGAACCAGAAAGCATTCAAAGAATCTTTCAAATATTCCCATCACCAAGAGTTAAATAAATCACTCTTTCAAAGGCAAAGAACAAGAATTCAATACTTGAAACCCCTGAAGTTTAACAAACCCTTACTCCATAAGGCATTCCTTCCTCCACCTGTGCATCTTCTTACTTGAACAAAGCAACATAAAAGCCACCTCAGAAAACCTCCCTATAGCTGCACATGAGGAATCCTTCAAGAGTCACAAACTGGTCAAACTAAATGACATTTCACAGCCACCTCTACGCAGTCACCTCTAGAGAGCACACAGTACGAAATCCCCCCAGAGGTACTGTATTTTTGGTTGTAATCTATGATTTCATTACCCAAATGCTGATCAAATGCCCAATTTTTCCATCTCTGCAGAAAAATTGCCTTCTTGGGTTTACAACTCAACAGAAGAGCCAAGCATTTTAAGTGTCAACAAACGTATTTTATATCTAAAGAAGGGATGGGAAACTCTTGCTCTTTCATTGCTTAGTAGGCCACTTCGTACTAAAACTGTGATTCTTTGGAAAACTATCCAGGAATGAATCACACCAAGAACAGATAACTGCCTCCTCCTCAAACAACCCCCAAAAAAAGCCTTTTTCAGTTATAAGCATCATTACCAAAGTGAATTTAGAAGAAGAAGTACTACCAAACCATCCACAAACTCCCTAACAGAGGGAATTAAAACAAACACAGATATACACAGATCTTCCAGGACATGAAGAGCAGACTTACAAGTGAGAAAGATACAACTACACTCTCCACTTACGTTACAAAGGCAAATGTATTTAGGAAAAGACGAGGGGGTTTATTACTATTAGACCTTAAGGAGAAACAAGTAATCCTGTATTACAAGGATTCACCTATATACTTGCATATCTAGCAGTGTCAAACAGTAGTTTACAAAGGAGAAAAGAATATAATCACCTGAAAACAGTTTAATGCAAAACCACACCTGCTTCAAGATAAATCTTTCATGCACAAAGAGCTTTCCATTTGGAACAAACCCCCAAATCATTTGGTGTATTTCCAGTTAAAGCAACCACAGCATCGCGTATGTTCCTCTTCACAACACTGAGGACAAGCTGAAGATTCGCAGTGGACTAAGACAACACGCTATAAAGTGAAACACAAACAAAACCACGCAGCGTTCTGCAGGAAAGGTGCAAACCTCCACTCTGCTGCGTTAATCTTTCCACAAAACACCATCTACTTTTGTTTGCAACTCTCAGTTCTCTCAACGTTAAAAGAAAACCATCCACCACGCCTGAGATAAAGCCATCCTTTCAACCAACCGGGTGCGCAAGAGCATATTAACGTGGACTACGGCACAGGTGCTCCCACATAAAGCTGACACCACAGCTCTGAGGCTTCATGGGAGACTCTCCACAACACCCTACCAGCTATACCGAAAGCACCACCATCCCCTGGACACAGTCAGTCAATGGAGCCACCTTAAGAGCACACTAAGGAAAAAACCTGCGGATTTTTCTACCTAGCCCCAGCAGATTGAGGTGGGTACGAAAATCACTAAGAAGAATGGGTAAGTTTAAAGTCAGCTAAAACTAGAACCAAGAGTGTTTTGAAAGCAAGCTCACATAGGCTCCTGGTATACTTCTGGGACCCATTTCAGCACTAGTCTGGTGAGGTTTTGGAGACCTGGGCTCTTACAGAGCTGACTTTTTTTAGTGAGTAAGAGCATTACGTTACTACACGGCAACTCCGCTGATATTTTACGGGGCAACCCCGACGAGCGGTGGCAACGCCGCAGGCACCAAGAACCTTATCCCCGCAAACTGCGGAGCGTTTACCTCGCTTCGTCCCCCAGGGCTGGGCCAGGAGCAGCCACCGGCGCCCGGCCGAGCCCGCCCGGGACAAGCCCCGCCGGGACCGGCCCCACGCCCAAGGGCCGAGGCGCCGACAACGGGACCGCAACTCCCGCCGCTCCCGGCCGCCGCGACCCCCTCCCGGCCGCCGCCACAGCCCCCGCTCGGGCTCCGGCACCGCCGCAAGGTCACTTGACCGCCTCCGACGGCCGGGCCCTCGGCCCGCACATACTCACCTGCCCGCGCAGCCCCGCGGGGCTCGGGGCGCGGCCGGAGGGAAGGAGGAAGGGAGCAAAGGAGCGGACGGGGGCCGGCCCGGACCCCTCGGCCTCAGCGCGCCGGGCCGCGGCGAGGCGGAAGCGGCCCCGCTCGGCGCCCCAGGCCCGCAGCGCGGGAGGCGCCGCCCGGCCCGGCCCTTTGTGCGCGGGGACGCGTGCCAGCCGCGCCGCGCCCGGCCTCCCTCCCCTCGCCTCGCCACGCCGCGGGCCCGCAGCGCTGGGCAGGGCAGGCGGCCCGGCCCGCCCGGGCGCCGCCGCGCTCTTACCGAGGGATCTGTACGGGAAAAAGGGTTAGAACGGAGCCGACCCGCCCCGGGCCCCGCTGCGCGCCGAGCCCAGCGCCACCGACCGCGCAGCGACACAAAATGGCCGCCCCGATGCGGCGCCGCCAGCGGAGGGGCGGGGCCGGCGCTAGGCGGGGCGGGCGGCGCAGGCGCGGCAGCGTCCCCTCCCCTGAGGGGCGGCGCGGGAAGAGGCGGGGGTCGCTGTGGAGAAGCGCCCGCGGGCACCGCAGCCCGGGGCTGGGGGGAGCAGAGCGGGGCCCAGGGGCAGGGTCCGGGAAGTCAATGGAGGTGCAACTGAGGGGTGATCGGTGAGGAACAGCTGAAGGACGGACACCCCTCAGGAGATGCTGTCGCTGCGCTTTTTAGGACACGGGTTCTTGCACCAGTGCCCGTTTTCAAAGGAAAAAACCGCTGCACAATCCGCTGCAGGAAACACAGTGAATCATCCCCTCACACTGCGAACGCTTCAGCGAATCCGGGAGTTCAGCTATTCAGTTTACTTGTTCTTCACCACTTAGCAGAACCCTGGGCCAAACTGTGGTGAGAGTGCTGTCCTGAGGCAAGAGGATCAAGCCCGGGGTGCTCTGCACCACAATAACCCCCACTCCACAACTTGTTTCCTTTTATATCGCCTCTTTCTACTCCCAAATTCTCCTCCTCTACCACTATCATCCCCTTCCGATAAACTGCCCACACTTGTTGATTTTCTCCCTTATCCAGCCACCCTGCAGCAGGGTAACAAAAGGGCAGTGCTGGAGCATCCCAGGCCATCAGAAACCTGAGGCTTTTCAGCTTTTGTGCAATGTGAACAATCACTTTTTGTTGCTGAAACAAGGTCTGGTGGAGACACTTGTGAGGGCCAGCCAAAAATATATACGAGCAAACTACATAATCTTCAACAGTGCTCTAGACCATGCCCGGTTCCATGAAGGTGCACTGGAGAGCACGTCCCGATGCCCTGCGCAGCTGCTGCAGACCAGCTCATGTCCTCACACCTCCATGTTCGGGTCAGGAACACAGCTGGAACTCAGCTGGAGCAGTCTGGAACAGATGCCTGTGGCACAGATCATCCCACAGGTCTCCAACTGCCTTCACAGCCATACCTGTTTTCACAGGGACAGCAGCAGATCTGTTGCAGAGTGGGTGCAAGGGGACAGAATCCCGGACTAGTATTAGGAGCACGCCAAGTGACAAAGGGTACTGAAGAGGAGGTGGCAGCATGATGGACCCAGGTACCAGCAACAGGAGGAAAAGTGGCTCTGGAAACACCGGCAGGCAGGAGGCTACAGGACAGGAATCATGGTAACCATATCCAATATGCTCCCCTATAACATGCATTTGGTGGAAGGTAGGCAGAAAAGACGTGTTAGAAAGGAATGGGATTTGCCTTTCTCAGGTACTAGGAAACTACAGAGATCGAGTTCATTTATCCATCTCCTTCACCCAAAACAAAACTGAAGGGTGTCAGGGTATGCAACTACAGGGAAAAAAAAAAAAACACAGAGAACATTGTAAAGTTTCACTTGTGTTTTTCAAGTTTCTGTCCATAAAGGGCCTCATCCACTCAGTCTTCCTGGCCTTTCGCAGACCCCCACTGTAATGTCCCCTGTCCTGCCCTTTAATCCTGACCCATAAGCTCTTGGTTGGCTCCTCATCCATACCCAGGTGGAAGAGGGTGACACCCCTTCCTCATCTCCCCAGCCTGTCCTTCCTGGAAAGTGGGAGTCCTTCCATCCCAGAACTGCAGTCATGGGGAGCCATCCTACCAGGTCTTTGTGACTCAGTAATGTAGCCCTGCAGGCATGCGCATGTCTAACTCCTCTTGTTCACTCCTCATACAACTAAGTGAGGCCCCAAAGAAGCCAGCTTGCGGCTGGAGTGGCTGGAATTTCTTCATATTGCTCTCCAGGTGCTCTCCTGCTGACATGCAACCATCTCCTGCTGGCATCAGCATCAAACTGGTAAAGTGGGATGGATTCATGTTCCCCTCCTCTGTGAACCTTCCCATACAAAACCCCTTAACTGCATTCAGTGGTGTGCGGCTCCATGTTCAACCTTGGCATTATTTCTGTCTGTTACAGGGAAAAGTATCTCCACTATAAATTCTTCCTCATCATTATTAACAGTGCGAATGAGTTTCCCCAACCTTTACACATAGAATTTGTATTTTAAAGCTTAGAACAGTTCAGCCAGAAGGTGGATTCAAAAAGACTGAAAGTAGCCAAGTTTAAGTCTTCTCTATAATTTTTTTATCATCCAGGAAACACAAAGAACAATTTCATGTAGTTCTAAAACATACTGGGAAAACATTATCACATGCTTAATCCAGAAAACACATAAGGCCCAGGAATAAACCATCACCCAGACACCACCTCTAAAGCCTATTTACGCATATGGCAGTTTAAAAAAACGTTGTGATAAAACATAAGGTGCCAGCCCTACAATACCAAAACTGCTAAAGCTAGTAATTTCAAACAGAACAACTGAGGATTAGCTCTGCATTACAACCAGCCAGTCTGTCCTTGGTAACAAAGAAAGCACAAGCTTCTGTAACACAATCCACCTTGTGAGACTTCAGCTTTTACATCACATGGTTCATCCTCGAGGTAGATGCCATCCAGAACTGAAGACGTACTGTCTGTATTACATTCAGCAGCTAATACAGCATCCATCAGTCAACAAAACCAATTGAAAGCTGTCTGCTTATGCAACTGAAACAAAGGCACTTTGCAAATACAGGGTTAAGTTTCCTACTGGAAAGATCAACAAAGGTAAGAAAGGAGAAATACTGATAGGAATTAATCTCATAAAACCCTGTTTAACAGACACTTTCCCCACTATCTGCAGGGAACGGATTCCTATGGAAGTCTCCAGTCAGACAGAAGTACAGTCTGTTACACAGAATAAATTCCAGACAAAACATACAGCCTCCAACAGGCAGGACTCCCTGCAGCGACAGAAGCCAACAGCCCATAGGCAAACTGTGAGTGACAGCAAAGGATCATGAGGGGAGGGGAAAACAACACAACAGAAAAACCCAGACTGCATTAAGACATTGCACTTCATCTGCTCTGCCCACCACCGCTACCACTCATGTTCCAGCTGAACTAGTGCTGCAACTGAAGCTGACATATTCTGCCTATCCCCCTCCTGCAGTCATTCCAGTTTTCTTTGCTTACTGAGAAGAAAACTGCATGGAAAAACACAACGGAGGGGACAGCAAAGTGCATCATCATTGCACCATAAACTCTGTAACACAGATGATGTTTAGGATTAATGCACACTGGTCTGAACAAGCATTACAAATACTCTATTTAAGAAAAAAAATGTTCTTATCTGCACATACAACTTAACTGAGAAGGCACACAGCCACACTGAGGCATCCTCTTCCTCTAGAAATGCTGAGCTGATTCCTACCCGAGGATCTCTCACCATACAGCACATCTGAGCAGCACAAAGGCAGTGGCTAGTGCAGGATGCCCACCCCAAGCAGAAGGAATGTGCAGCCTGGCTGCAAGGGAACAGCTACATGGGTGTCCCTCTTACCAGGACTCCACTTGCTCACAAATAACACACCGATTTCATTTTCTTATCAGAAAATACATCGACAAATTAATTCTGCTTTAGCATAAATTTCTGTATGTCAGTATAAATGCAGTGGGTGTTAAATCATCCTGCCTGTCTCTGGCATAAAGACTGATTTCCATTTTTGGCTTCTGAGACTCTGTGATCAGAAAGGGTCACTTTCCAGGCAAATTGCAAGTGTCAAAAATAAGAAGTGCTGCATAATTTGCTCAAGAATGTACAGAAAACACATTTTAATCCACATCCAGTCCATGGATAGCGATGTTTTCTCAGTGCTGAGTCCATTTAATACTTTTGAGGTCAATTCCATCCTGCACCATTTCCCAGAGAGGGCTGTAAAGAAAGGAGAAAAATGAGGGTTAAAACACACAGGACAACGTCAACAACAAGAATCAAACGGACATTTTTATCAGCTACACAAGAAGCCAGGAGGTACCCATCTACCTGCCTTCCCCTTCTGGAGGTCAGTGAGCTTCAGGTGATCAGTCCTCAACTGTGTCGTCCGCCCAAAATACAAGAGGTGAGAGAGCCCTGCTCCCACTTCAGGCATTAAGTACTGGTGTCTCAGAGACTGAGCCCTCACATTTGACACTGTCCAGATGAGTCTGGAGTCTTCCACTTTCACCAAAATAAAACAACTTATGGATACCTAAACTCAATAATACCATCTGTGGCTTAGAGACTTCCAGGTACTGCCCTAAGTGCCTGCCCTACTTGCATTCTTCCCCTGACAAAGGCAGGATCTGGGAAAAGGTTTGTTTCCTTATTTGTCACTACTGTTAATATCAGTCCTCTTCCTACTCTGCTTGCTTACACAGAGACACCACCAGATTTTTGAGGTAAACAATTACTTTCAACTAAATCCAACTTTTAAATGACTACCACACCGAACAAGTCTTCATATTCAGTAAGATGGCAGCTCACCTCATTTCCCTCAGCCTCTTAACATGCTGTATGCACTTCTGCACTGTGTAATCCACCTCCTCCTCTGTAGTGAAACGACCAATGCCAAATCTAAACCAGAAGAAAACCATCAAAGACTAGAACTTTGGGGGAACAAATCCACCACCTACTTTTAGGCAGAAAACATTTTGGAAGCATTAGGAAAGACCACTCCACACACCTTATAGATGAGTGAGCCAAGTCCTCATCTGCTCCGATTGCCCGCAAAACATAGGAAGGCTCCAGAGAAGCTGATGTACAAGCACTGGGGAAAGGGAAGGCACTGTCAAGCTTTTGTTCACATGCAGATGCCACACTGAAGTAACACTTCCCTAACCTCCTCCAAGAAGGAACAGGTCACTTACAGACATTTCATGCTACTAGGACTTTTTACAACAACCTGTACTGGCTTCCCCAGCCTCCTGGAAATCACCCTGAACACAATCAAGAAGAGTGGTATTTCTGCTGCTGAAGAAAAAGAAGGAATGGGAGGGTATTAGAGGGGAATGAGGTTTATCGATTAGGAGCACCAGGTAACAGGTAAGAAGAGGGAACACAGATAAAACAGTAAGACTAAACACAACACCAAGCAGAATCAGTGGGAATGTAGACTAAGAGGTGGCTGAAACAAAGGCTGTATAAAATAGACAAAGGAGCCAAGACAGAACTAGCCAGAGAAGGAAACAAACAGCCAGGACATTAAAAAAGTAAAAAAAAAAACTTTACAAGTTGCTATTTGGCAGCAGAACAAATAAAGGAAAAACAGTGCACAGAGGAATCCAGAGCAAGATGATCCAGTTATTGTCAGCAGCAGAGAAAACTTCCATCTCAAGCAGTAGGCAAAACTGGTTCCATGATGTTACTCAGTTTTCACAGGCTGCAACATGCAGCACAAAGCAGAGTCTCAGAGAGACTTTCAAATTACAGAAGTGCTCAGCTTCAGAGAGAGTCATGTGCAGACTTGTTCTTCCCATTCACAGTGCCAATGTACGGTGAATCAAGATCTGCTGACCACTTCATTCTCATAGGTAAGGGAAAGAGGGCATCTTTACACTCCATTAACTGCGCCAGAGGCATCCAGCTTGTCTTAGAAATGTTATTCATTGCTCCTGTAGAGTCAACAGAGCTCCATAAAGTGTATTCAATTTTCTCTCTACTTTTGCATTAAATACAGGCCATGTGAGCTAATTTAGTTCCAGTATTTGTCTGGGCAGTTACAATCTGCCACTGGTGTGAAATCCCACTGAAGTACAGAAACTGCTCCAATGCTGGCAGCCTTTAGAATGAGTGAGTCACTGGCAGTTATATGTCAAGGATATCACAGGTAATCAGTCTACAAGGCTGGCAGGTAGAAATTTCTAGATTGATTTTCCTGGATTTGGGTGTTTTTTTGTTCATTTTTTTCTTTCAGGGTGAGTAAATTTGACCTTCATTTGAAATGTGGCATTTAAACATCTCGGAATGAAATCCATGCCAGGCTGACTCAGTAACCCAGTACACAGATAGAGGGCAGAGACCACTCCTTAGTTTGTGCCTCCATCAGCAGATGTCATTTTCTCTCCAAAATTCACTGCTATGCTGCCCACGCATTCCACCTACCTTCCTGAAGAGAGAGCCACGTCTTTCAAAGCCATCAGCAGGCTCTCCCCTTCCACATACGCAAAAGATAAATTGATGCATCCTACAAATAAATGAAACAGAAAATAAAACTTCCATCAGCTGAAACTGAGGGTAAATCCTACACCTCAAGGCAACACTTGCACAGTGTGCAGCTAAAGTGCACTACTGGATCATGGACACTAACACAGACAGTTCTAATGGGCTCAGGACTCTGCTTACGTTACCTGGGTAGCGATGCTCTTTGTCTCCATTCATAACTACATCAGGAATTTCAGTCATTATTTTTGTAACCAGTCGTTCTGCCAGTTGTGAGATTCGCTTATGGTCATACTACAAAGAAATCAGAAAAGAGACCAGAATAAATACAGAGCACAGTCTGACCTCGCTAGAACTGCTTTGCATCACCAATTGTGTGCAGGTGAAGCAGCTGGGTTTGGTTAAAGCAGGGAAAGAACACATCTGAAAAAGAAACCATCAAGCTTTGCCTGCTCTAGTGACTGTTCTAACAGAGAATTACCACTTTGGTCCTTGCTAGCTCAGCCTCCAAAAATATCCCAAACCATTCAGAAAGATCTGTATGTACAAGCTGCCAAATTGGCTTCCATAAAAGAACCGAGTCAGGTAATGCGCAAGATGACGCATTTTGCAACACAAAAGGGTATCTATCTATTATGGTAAGTGCCCCTTATTTCCTTCAGAGCTCTCAAACTGTACCACATAAAGACACGGTCTTGCAAATGACTCTGAACTCTGCTTTTACAACACAATCTACACAGCGAGAACTGCCCCCACACAGTGTCTTGTTCTAGACTGGAACATGATGTTCCTCACCATACACTACTGCTTCTGGAGCACATCAGCTCTGATGCAGACACACACATGCAATTCATGATTATTTACATGCTTGAAAAAGCTTTAGTCTCAAATATTACTTGACTTGGACATGCCAAATCTCTGCCAGGCAAGGAAGAGAATCCAGATGTGAGGCTTGTGCAGCTTCCATAACTGCCCAGCTCATACAGTGGATTCCTGCCTGTCTCCCAGGAAGAAGCTTGATTCTGTACATACAAACATCTGGCTTATGCATCCCACTGGCACTATATTAAAGGACTCTTACATTCCAGCTGTAAGGAATGTGTTGGTGCCCACAAACAGATATAGCAGCACACAGAGGATTAGACACCAGACCGAGCAAATAAACTGTCCAAGCTAGAAAAAAATAATTCTTAGTTGAAAAGCTGCAGAAAACTTGAACTCACATACATTGGCTAGGTACAATAATGGGCTAGGAAGTCTTATTTTCTTCCAATATATATTACATGAACATGATTTATTCCATCTCAGAGATACTGCTAATAAACGCATGCAGAATGGAGAGCTGAGTACAAGCACTTAAACCTGTATTTCACTGAAACTGTCAACAGTAAATCTGTTGCAGAAAAACAAGATTCAAGCCACTTCAAAAAAGAAACTGAAGAAAGCTGAAAATCCCCTTCCAGCTGCCCAAAACATCCTTGAAGATCTCAAAACATTTACTCCATGTTGCAACACAAGAATCCAATTTAACTCGGGCACATGCACACAAAAAGACTGAAGAAATCTAAGACTTATCTGGCCACTTTATGTTATTTTCTGGAATCCAAGACAATCTCCCACATACCTCCATCTCCTGCTGTGCCACCTCACAGGCTGCACCCAGGCCCACTGCTAAAGGGGTGGGCACTGTCCCAGACCTCAATCCTCTCTCCTGGCCTCCCCCGCTCTGCAGGGGCTCCAGCCTAACGCGTGGTCGGCGACGAACATAGATAGCACCAACCCCTGGAAAATGAGGAAAGCTGGCTTAGTATATATCCAGTTCTGAAATGATGAAAAGGGATTCCAAGGCTTGGAAACGTTCCTTATTTCCACAGAAAACACTCATTTGGACACCTCACTGGAGAGAAACGTAATGAACACTCTAGGAAGTGGTGTCTGTTCCAATCGTTATGTTCTTCCTCACTCACGCTCCCAGCTATGGGAGAAGCTCAATTTCTCCCAGTGTGCTTCAGCCACCTAAGGACTAAATACTTCCCTTCCCTCTCACAATCCTGTGCAGGAATGAAGTTCACCTCTTCGCACTGAAGTTTTTAAGTGTAGATATCTCATTCATTGATGCTCATTTACTGACTTCCAGCTGAAAGCTCTAGAACGCCTTTCCCTGGATTACCAAGCCAGCAGCAGTCCCAGAAGTCCTCTCCCTTTCTTATTATTAGGGAGACTCATCAGTAGCAGCAGTTTCCAATGGGCAGATCAGATGAACCAGATTTGACAGCCAGGCAGTGTCCTTCTTTCATCTCCTCACCTAAAAACTTGATTTTCATGCCTTCACGTGCCTTGGCTTATCCTAACGAATGACTCATAGCAAGAAGAATGGCTGCAACTTCTGGTCATTAGAAGTTATGAAATGTCTGTCACCTGCCCAAAATTACTGGTTGAAACCTTAGTCCTTGCCCAGAGAGACATCTTTAGCTCTCAGAGCACACACAGAAAAACATAACATACTGAAAAAAACAGTAATTTTACCTTTTGTTTCTGAATAGCACATAAATACAGCAAACCTGATTTCTGCCTTTCTACATCCAGTTTTACAGACTGAATAAACAGTGACAATTGCTGAACTTCTACTATTTGGGAGTCAGCTAGAAAATCCACAGCCAGATTTTAAAGTCCATTCTGCAAAGATGCACAAATGGAGATGGGGAGAAGCCACTGGAAGTAGAAGGCAAGCAAAAATCACTACAAATTTAAACTTTCCAGTTACCTTTTGACCTCCTCGTTGCAAGCTGCAGCTGGGCCTAAACTTTGCCCTAAAACCTAGTTATTTCATTTCAACTGCTTCAGCGTCAGTGCTGCTTTGCATCAAGCAGATGACTCCTGAAGAGTCACAACTCCTAATGCTGCCACCATTATAAAACAGTGTCTCTCCCTTTGGTGAAGCCACCAAACAACCCATCAGCACTGAAGATCCGCTTACTGCAGCTCTGTGTCTGGCAGCAGTGCTTGAACTACTCCAAAGTCAGTCCAATAGTTTTCTACAGTTTAAGTAACAGTCACTATGACAGACAGGTCTGACTTCATACCTTGTGCGGTTACCTTAAGGTAGGCATGAAACAAGTCTCTAGAAAAGCACTTTAGTAAGTACCTTTGGGCCCATAAATTTTATGGCCACTGATGCTCATCAGATCAATTTTCATGCTGTTGACATCCACAGGAATTTTACCAATTGCTTGTGCAGCATCTGTATGGAAGAACACCTTACGCTCGCGGCAGATCTCACCTGTAACACAGACACAAGTGCAAAACCACCCACATTATCTCATCTAATTGTGATGATTCCAATGATTCCAACAATGAATCAATTTACAGCAGGGACCAGTTCTGAGGTGACAAGGAAAGAAATGGGTGCTGCTGTGCTTCTTTTACAGAGAAGCATCTAAAGCTGTGTAGGAGCTACTCTAGCTGATGCCGAGCTGGTTTAAGCAGGTCAGCAGGTAAGAGGCCCCAGTCTTGGCCTATTAGACCTGTGATCAAGTTGTTACTGTGGGAACCAGAGCCTGGCACCAAGTATCTCTGGCACTCAAGAGTGGGACAACACTAATGGCCTTAACAATGTAAGCACAAGAGGAAAATCAGCTGCACAACAGGATCAGATGCCTGCCACAGGCTGGAAAAGCAGCACCCTCCAGAATGATGCCATATAAATGCCAGGGCAGAGACAATGCCTGAAAATGCCCTAAAAACTCAAACATCTTATGAAAGGATGCAGGAGGGGATGTGTTTTGTCACTGTCATGGTGTTATCAAGGAACCGCTGTGACCTGCTTTGCCAGACTGCTCTGAGGTCCCGTCTCTCCATGTGCCTGCTCAGAGCCCGGCTCACCCTCTCCTTGTTCCAGAAACCTGGCTCTTCAGCAGCCTTTTAGCCTCCACACCAATTGTTCATGACTGTATATGGCAATACTGGGGGGAGAAAGGGTGTCACCATCCCTTCCTACCCCAAATACTGCACGTTTCTCCTCTTAAACTCTACAAGTGTTCAATAACTTATACGTCAGCTCTATTTGGCCATTTATCCTGGGTAATACTTTTATCCAACATACAATTAAGAATGAAACACAAAACACGGCAGCTGATCTGTGCTACAAAGCTGCAATTGCTGCAATGCTCCCTGTAAAAGTACCAAGTTTCACCTGCATTTCCCTTTTAAAGTAAGTTTTTATTTGGGACAGTATTATTATCTATTTCTTACCTATACTACATCTTTTGCATTAGCAGCACTTGGCTACAAAAATATTAAGTAAAATGAAGCGGAAGTGACATTCCTTGCCCTCTGGAAGCCGCGGTATACTTACCAATGTCCTGAACTGGCTGCTTTACTCCTATTTCATTACTCACAGTCATTACAGAAACCAAACTTGTATCTGGCTGGAACGCAGCCTCCAAATCCTGGGGAAATATTCAAACAGAAGCTGTGGCTAAGAGCAAAGCAAGATTCCTGTGCACACCTTCAACTTGCCAGCAAATCCTACCCACTAGCCCCCTACCAACCCCCTGGGCTCTGACAAACAGTCCTGGCAAGAGCACTAATCCATGTGAATGTCAAATTCCTGTAGGAAGAGGAGTGTGATCAACTGCATATCCTAACTCTGGTATGCACCACGCCACTGGACTCAATTAAATCATGTCAGAACAGGCTTCTGCTGTGTCTCATACATTCCTCTGAACTTCTTTAATGAATTAACCATCCACAAAACAGCTTAAGCCATGCATAAACAAAGTGAGGTTGGCTATAAGGGAACTGCACTATATACAAGAAAGCATCATGCAAAGAGTGAGTTTGCCTAAGTCCCCAGCGAACACGACTAGCACTTCTGCACCTGCAGGCCTGATCCCTCTGCCCACCACATACACGCACCATCTCTCCAAGCCAGATGACAAGGCCAGAAATAAAACTGATGCTGTCTTGTATTGTAAGGCACAAATCACAAAATAAGCATATGCGACTTCTATATCGCAGGGCTGAGGCGTGTACACCCTGAAGGGTCAATGCAGAGACTGCAGTCTGAAGGGAGTATTGTAACTGCTGTCTCTAATGCCTTGAGTAGCTCAGGTCATGAAATTTCACCACTAAACCCCCGTACCAAAGCCAGTTCTATCCTAGTCATGTACTGGGCTCGCCACAAGGTACGCAGCAGCTCCACCTGCATGAGTATGAATGACAGCAGGTGAACAGTGGGATGAGAGATGGATGTTTTTAGCTGAGGAAAAGTCTAGAGCACCAGACAAAACAGAAGATCCTTCTCCAGCTGTGATCATTTGACTGTGACTCTCATTCTACCTGGTGATATTTATCATCCTTTCCTCTTGAACGCTAAGAGGATATAAGGTCCTCTTGAGCATCAATACGAAGCAAACCCTCCACTATTTCCACTTGCTGTCACTAAACAACTCACCTTCAAATCTATGAGCCCGTTTTTTTTAACGGGCAGATACGTGACCTGAAAACCTTCTGTCTCCAGGGAGCGGCAGGAATCCAGCACACACTTGTGCTCTGTTTGAGTAGTGATGATGTGCTTTTTTCTGGATTTATAGAACCTTGCAACACCCTGTTCAGGTACAACCCACAAACAAGAGATTTGTCATTCGTCACTGAAGAAACAAGGTTTACACACCAGGATCGGAAACAAGACATTACTATTCAGACACAATTAATTTGGATCTTCCCTCTTGGCCCTGAAGTCATGAATCTAAAAGGTACTATGTGTAATTCACACTATTTCCATCAGCACTCGTCTTCCAAAGCATCTCTTTTCAACTGGCCTGTGAAAGTCTTCACTGAGAGAAGACACTATTAACAGCAATACTTTATAAAGAGTCACACGCAATGATGCACACCCTAACAGTTAAAACACTGCCCAGTCTTAGAAACAAGTTTGTAATCAGCCTCTCCACCGTATTTCATGATAAAGATTCTAACTACTTAAGCAGAAGGGTTATATTTGGTCCATGCAAGATAAACATTATTACACTTTCTACTCAAAACCACCTCCTGGGAACCAAAACATCCCAGTTTTCCCTCCACGTATGCAGCAGAATAACACAAGCAGTAAGTCCAGGAATGCAAATATTTGCTAACTAACCCAAGATATTAACATTTCAGCTGCTGAAAGCTGTGTACAGTTCTTAAGAGCGTAATTTTAACACAATGAATAACTAACAGTGTAAACCTTTTACCTTAATTGCCATGTTATTTGCTTCTGTTGCACCACTGGTAAATATAATTTCCCTTGAATCAGCTCCTATCAAATCCGCAACTTGCTGTTTGAAAGACAAATTTGATTTGTTAAGACAAAACACAGTGAATTCACTGTAGCAAAAAACATGCAAAATGTTCTCAAGAATACCCCCTTAAGCCTCAAAAGGGTCACAGCTGTATCTAGTGAAGTTGTGCTACAGGTACAATGGTCTAAATAGCTGCATTAATAGAAACTACATAAGGGTCACGAGCAGTAGCGGTGTTAAGCATTAGGCTGCCATAAAAGAACATAAAAGTTAAGTAGACAAAACACCAGGATGTGTTACTTTCAAAACAATTTTCAAAATCCCGTATCTAAGATTAGAATGATACAAAATGGAGTTATCCCAATGGCTGCAGCACTTTGTGACCTCAGGGAGTCTGAAGTATTTTTTCTGCCATTTCAATTCCTCTAATCTCACTATTTTTCCTGGCAATAAATCTGCTACCGCAGAGCTACGTGAGGAGGAGGCTGCTAAACCAGCCCCCAGAGAGCTACCTGCATTGCTCTTGGTTTTCCTTCAACACTGAACTTCCTCACCGGCAGGAAAACCACTGCAGACAGCCAGAGACTCACCTTCCTTGCCTTCTCCATGGCAGCCTCGCTCTCCCAGCCATAGGCATGCGTCCTGGAGTGCGGGTTGCCGTAGTACGATGTCAGGTACGGGAGCATCCTGTCCAGGACCCTGGGATCCTGTGGGACACACACCACCCAACCTTGGACACGGAGAAGGGAAAGCATCTCCGTCCCCCCCGTACACCCTGCCCCAGGACTAGCACTGATGCTCCTGCAGTGTCTGGGTGTAGCTCAGGCCAGATCTTGAACACGTGAGGTTATTACATGCTATATGTAACACAGCCTCCAGCAAACCAAGTGTCTGGCAATTACGTTCTGTGCCCTCCATCTGCATCAAGACAATCGCAGAAGAATGGGGTTTTCTGAGCATACGGAATCATGGACTGGTTTGTGTTGGAAGAGACCTTAAAGCTCATCCAGTTCCAACCCCTGCCACGGGCAGGGACACCTTCCAATAGAGGCGCTTGCTCCAAGCCCTGTCCAACCCAGCCTTTCCTCTGAGCAGGAGAAATACAAGGTCTTAAAAAGCCACGGGAAGTTACCCAGGTATTTTGGTTACGTTCAGTTCTCGCTGCCCCTCAAAGCAACGCCCATCCCCGCGGGTATCAACTGCGGCTCCCGCAGAGCAGGAGCGGAGGTGCGGGACCCTGGCCAGGGTCAAAGCCCTTCTAGGGTCGGAAGGAGACGGTGGCATCCCGAGACCCGGCCCTTACCAGCGGGGTGGTGGCCTGAACGTCCATGTAGAGCGGCCGCAGGGCGCTGCCTCCATCGCCGCTTCGCCCTGAGGGAACGGAGAGAAGGAGCCGTCAGGTACCGCCGGCAGCGGCCGCACGGAGCTCTGCCGGCCAGGCCCGCCCGCGCCCCAGGCCCCGCCGCTGTCGCCCCCACCGCGGCCTTACCCGGTGCCGGCTCCGCCGCAGGCGCCGAGAGCCGCCGGACGCCGAGGGCCGCCCGCGGGGCTGCTCGAAGCCGCCACAGCATCATGGCGGCGTCACCGGCCCGAGCCGCTGCCCGCCCCTTCCGGAAGCGTCACGGAGAGCGCCGGAAGCGGAGGCCGGAGCGGGCAGCGGCGGAGGGCGCGGGGCGAGCGAGGTGCGGGGGGGGGCGGCCCGGGCCGAGGCCGGTGCGGGGCTTCCGGCCTAAGCCCCGTGAGGTGAAGCGGGCGCTGAGGGCCCCGGCGCGGCGGGTGAAGGCCTCGGTGCCGGGCGGAGGCCGCCGCTACCCGGGGAGCCGCTGGGGCGTGAGCCCCGCCTCGTCCCGGGCGTCCGGAGGGGCCCATCCGCTGCCTCCGAGCGGAGAAACGCTTCTGAGAGCCTTGGGCCCCGCGGTCACCGGGCCCCTCCAGGCCGGGGTGTTTGTAGGAGCGTTTTAGACCGAGCAGTAAATCCATGGGTTTGTGCTTGTGTTTCCAGATGCCGGTAACCGTGGGCCCGTACGGGCAATCGCAGCCCAGCTGCTTCGACAGAGTAAAGATGGGTTTCATGATGGGCTTTGCAGTGGGCATGGCAGCGGGAGCGCTCTTCGGAACGTTTTCCTGCCTCAGGTACGCCGAGGGAACGGTTCCCATGGGCAGGCTGTGGCAGGGAGAAACTCCTGTGCTCTGGGGGTGGGAGGGGAGGTGCGGGTCTGCCGCTGCCATCGCAGAGGTGAAGCTTTGCCAGGGCTCTGCCTTGAGAGCCCGGTGTCAGCCCCGGCCTCAGATGGGTCCCTCTGGACATGGGGCGTTACCTCCGTGAGGGGGGCCCAGCTTTGCCTGTGCTCAAGCCGAGGTTGTGCTGGAGGCTGAGGCTGTGGGAGGTGGCTCCAGCGGGAGCTCTGTGCAGGCACAGGAGCGGCCCTCTCCTCCTTCAGAAGCTCCCTGAGGCTCTCAGGGACCTGGGTGCCCTGTTCCCTCCATGGAGGCAATTCCCATACTGACCCCGAGGGGTAAAGGCAAGAGAGGAGGCAGAGCCGTGGCTGGCACTGGCGCAATCCCATCGTGAATGAGGCAATACCGCACCTTCCTGGTGCGCCAGCACAGGAATAACCAACACTCGGTGCTCCAGCCCGGCTCCTCGCTGCCTGGTGCTGGCACACATCAACCGTGGACAGGAAATACTGAAATAAGCTCCTTCCTATGTTGCAGAACTCATGCTTTTTTAATCTGTGATTAAACACGGAGATGGCCCAACCCAAACCCATTCAGTGATGCTGTGGTTTAGAAGAGAGCCTGAGAGGAGGCAGAGGCACAAAGTCGAATCTGACAGCGTTTAACGTTTATGGCTCTCTCACAGATCCTGGAGTGTCTGTAGGTGGTTCAGTGCCAGCAGAAAACACAGCTCATGGGTATTTAGAGGAAGCAGTGACAGCCGTTCTGTCCTTTTTGAATGACACAGCTATACAAAGAGAGCAGCTCCTTGCTTTTATAGTTCAAGCATGGGGCACCACAGCATCTCCCTGCACAAGCAGATGTCACTTAGACTGAGGTGTTTGATTTGGGTGCTCAAGCACCTATTTTCTGGTTGTACCGGATGCTTTCTGCTGCGTGTCTGTTACAGGCTTCAGCTTCTGGGTAATTCCTGTGTTTTTCTTCATCTCAGGATTGGCATGAGAGGACGAGAGCTGGTGGGAGGAGTCGGCAAAACGATGATGCAGAGTGGTGGGACGTTTGGGACATTCATGGCTATTGGCATGGGAATCCGCTGCTAACCTGGAGCGTGGCTCCCAGCCCGGAGTGCCCCCGCTCAGCCATTCCTCCTCTGTACCATAATAAAATGTTTGGATACCTGGAAGCAAGAGCTCTTCGTGACGTGGTGAATGAGGCACCATCTCCTTGCTCTGCTGGTTGTAAACGTGCTTTTTACCAAATTTCTACTTTCCTCCCATCTCCTACTCCCATGAGGATGAGAATTGATGATCCTTTGTACTACATTAAAGTTCCTGGTTCACAGGTGTAAGCTCAGCTCTCCCATTTCTCCCTTTGGTACTTGGGCAGCTCTCATGCCCCATGCTCTGATGTGGAGCTGCTCTGTTGCACTGGTGTTCCTGAGTCTAGGGGAGTTACCTGTGGCTACTTCAACTCAACCGTCAGCTTTCTCCCTTGCACACATGGGTGGGTTGAAGTCAGCCCCATTTCCAAGTAATACAGGGGCAAAAGCGAGGGAGCCCAGAAGGACTTGGGCAAGTCCTTGCAACCAAGAGCAAACTGCAGCAGCTCAGGGCTCCAACCAGCCCGGGAGCGTGTGGTGCAGGCAGCAGCCAGGGAAGAGCAGTTACAGGTACAGCCATGCTGCAGGAGCTGCAAATCCTTAAAACTGCTGGGAAATGGAAAACCCCTCTCCTGCTGTGAGCACTCATCCTTGCAATGAGTCCCAAGGGTGACCTGGACAGCGGATGTGGGTGATGTAACCTCCTCAGGCCTTGAGCAATGCCCTTCCTGCAGCTCTGCCCTCAGGACAGATCATGTCCAAGCTCTGCAGGGCACCCTGCTGAGGGGAAGACTGAAGCCGTGGTGGCCACTTCCATTCAGCACCAGGTACTGGCAGTGCCTCTGTATGCTCCCTGGGCATAGGAAGGGGTCACCCATAGGAGCTGTGCTGCCAGGACACCGTCCTTTCCCCCTCAGCAGGTCTGCAAGGTGCCAGGGAGAGGGATCACTCCCTGCAGCCCTGCCTGTGGCTGAGCTAGCACATGGTTAGTTCAGTGTTGCCATCTCCTGGGATTTGCCTGTTGAAACCAGGCTTATCTTTGCTGCTCCTCCATTTCTGTTTAGGACAGGGTAGCTGCAGCAGAACCTGAGCCAGCAGCCACAGAACCTGTACCTGGTACAAGTGCCATTTCCCCAGTTTTTAAGGGAGAAAACACCCATTTGCTACTAAAAGCCTCGTGGCTCAGTACCGAGTGGAACAGTGCCACCAACCAAGTTGAGCAGCACAGCTGCTCCGAAAAGCTCCAGTTTTACTCTGAACTGGCAACGAAACCCCCCCCAGTCAAAGCAAGCTAAAAAGCAGCTTTGTGTGGTGGTCCTGAGCTGGGTCACACGCTGCCAAACCCCTCTGGCAGCACATCCCTGTCTGCTCCCCAAGACCATTCTGCAGCTCAGCCACAGCAACCTGCACTGATGGAGCCCAGGTCACCACCACCTCCTGCCCTGAGCACCAGCAGCACCTCTGCCACCCATGGGACTCCACACCACTGTCAACCACCCCTTGTACTAGGCAGTTAAAAGTGACAGGAGGTAGGAAAGGAGTAGTGACAGGACAACCAACTAAATGACTGCTCCATCCTCACACTCCATGACCATGTGTGAAAGATGGGGCAGAGGAGGGCAAAAGGACCTGCAGCAGGCCCGAGCTTGAGAAAGGGCACAAGAGGTTCCTGAACAGCCACGGCTGCAGCAGAGTGTGTGTGGGGTCACACCAGGAAGGGTGACATTCCACCCACCTCCATATCACAGCACCCATCAAACACTTCCAGTCCAGTGGAGGAATAAAGCTTCGTGAAGGCCTTTTTAAGAGAATTTTATTTGAGTGGTTCTTACAAAGATTGTTGCAATATGAAAGTCTTTGTTTGATAGAAATATCAAGCTGTCTTGTCAAACACACTGAAGTAACCCAAAAATATATTTCAGAGCTCACAGAGCTTAAAAAGAGCAAAGATTATATGCAACCACAACAAAACATGTTTCTGTATTTCCTACCCATTTTCAAACCTGGCTGAAATCCTTCAGCTGTGCCCCACGGCGGACATAGAGACTGATGTGGAAATGCAGAGATCGTTTTGTTTGGAAACTTAGACACACCTCACACAGTATTTACAAAGAAACTTTTACAGATACATTAATCAAAAGTTACCATCAAGAAATAAACCCCTTCAATCCTTCTATTCTTACCAATTATTCAGCACAAAGCAAGCTGAGTGGCTGCCTAGAGTCAGCTTTCAGTAGCCTGGTGAATCTTCCATTTATACAAAACACTAAATTTGTCCCTTCAGAACGTCTACCTTTGATATTAACCCTTAGCAGATCACCTACATTTAGTGAAGTGTAAATGTAATTGCGGCATTAAAAGAAAGGCTTTGTGAAACATTAAAAATGTCATTATGTCCCATCTGCCTTTTACAGAGAACTTGTTTTCTATGAGCTACTTCTCAGTTCCTACAGATCACCTTAGTCAATGTACAAGAATTACAAGGCAGAACAAGAAGTCAACAGCTTTGTATACAGTGGAAATGCTAGTTAGGGAGAATGAACACACTGCATTTCTGCTTACTTCATTTTATTTTTAAAGGTAGCAGGAAGTGTACACAAAATGACATTAAATCCTTTCCTTTAGTTTTATCTAAATAAAAGATAACTCAATCTTCCTCCAAAAAATAACTATGTACAAAACTGACTAAATCCATCTTCATCGTCGAACAGGAACCAGTAGTTGGGTTGCAGTCATGGAGTCTGGGAAAAGGCTATGGTACGTTGGAAGAGGTACATACGCTGCTGTGATCATTTTACCTGATCAGAAGATGAAACAGGCATCAGTATCTGGTCATTTCTGTAAGGAACTACATTAACTAAAGGTTTCTGTGTGGAAGCCACTCACCTGCAAACCACCTCCCGTGCAACGCATTGACAGCTGCAATGGCAGCAGCGATGGAAGGACATTTGACGTACACGTTGCCCTGTAATACAGAAGGGTCAGAGCTGTGAGAAGCCTGAGGAGGGTCCAGCACCGCCTGTGCTGAAGAGGCTGTGGCAGAGGCAAACCTGTTGCTCTCCTCCCGCCGTGACCGCCCCATAAATCAGACTGACGTGAGAAAACAGCTTTTTAGTGGCATGTGCTACCACACTGCTACCTTGGCATGAAACTGCTCTGAGCAGCAGTTTGCAAAGCAGAACTAATGCGGGCCTGACCCACAATGAGCGAGCAGTGATTGCTCACTTGCTCAGACAACCCTCCACAAAGAGCTGGTGCAAAACAAAAGCAGGAGGAGTTTGGCTACCTGTGCTGCAGGCCGGGCCTCCCGCT